ACGTTATAGTGGTAACGTCCACACAACGTCAAGCTGTAACATCATTAGACGTTGGTATTTGGTTGATTTTAGGTTGTGTTAGAAAGTAACCAAAATCCAACGTTAAGCCAACATCTTAACCCAACATCATATTGACGTCAAATACTGACATTTATTCGTCATGTATGGCAACCGAAATCCAACATCCGATATACGTCATAGTGGTAACGTCCACACAACGTCAAGCTGTAACATCATTAGACGTTGATATTTGGTTGATTTTAGGTTGGACATTGATTTTAAGTTGGGTTGTAGCATTTTTTTTAGCAATAAATAAACACCATAAAAACAATTCTTGCTGTTTTATATTTTCGCAACACAGGCTCATTCTGAAAACGTAGCCCTATATACATTTCTGGAGATTGTGAATTATGTAGCCAGAGGTACGTATGTCTGCATTTCATCTTTATACAAACAATATGGAGTGGCATGACAACATTCCTTTTTGCACTTAACAGCTGACTGCTTACCTCTGGCTTTCCTGCTGTTTGTCCAGTGGCTCGACGCATATGTCGGTGAACTTGAGACTCAGAGAGGAGTTGACCACGTTGACGGGGTTCGTGTCTGGCAAAGAGCAGTTCCAGAAAGTGGGTAAGACAAAAATTTAAGCCAAAAAGTAAAATAAACAAGTAAAAAACAGGGTGAAAATGTGGTAAAAATAAGTTTGGTAAAAATCAGGCGAGTGCTTTTTTTATTCTGGATTGCTTTTGAAAACACTGTCGGTTGGGTTTAGGGAAGGGGGTGGGAGGGTCAATTGGTGCTTTTGAAAACACTGTCGGTTGGGTTTAGGGAAGGGGGTGGGCGGGTCAATTGGTGCTTTTGAAAACACTGTCGGTTGGGTTTAGGGAAGGGGGTGGGAGGGTCAATTGGTGCTTTTGAAAACACTGTTGGTTGGGTTTAGGGAAGGAGGCGGGCGCTGGTCAGACGGTGCTTTTGAAAACACTGTTGGTTGGGTTTAGGGAAGGGGGTGGGAGGGTCAATTGGTGCTTTTGAAAAAACTGTCGGTTTGGGTTTAGGGAAGGGGCGGGCGCTGGTCAGTCAGTGCTTTTGAAAACACTGTTGGTTGGGTTTAGGGAAGGGAGTGGGCGGGTCAACTGGTAATTTTGAAAACACTGTCAGTTGGGTTTAGGGAAGGGGCTGGACAGGTCAATCGATGATTTTGAAAACACTATCGGTTGGGTTTAGGGAAGGGGGTAGGCGGGTCAGTCGATCGGTCAGCCAGTCAGTCGACATCGGCCTCTGGTAAATTTACGTGAGAACAGCAGGCATGAATGGCACTCACGAGAGAAATGTGAGATGTGAAAAAGCGTACACAGCGCCCTCTAGTGGATTCACAAAAATGCAAAAATACATAGCTCCTGGGATGTATTTGACGCTCTCCAGAAATGTATATGGCAGAACGGTTTCAGAATGAGCCTGGGTTGAATTTTTGAGTTGATCCAAATGGACTTTTCTAGTCATCCCAACTTACATCAGTCAAACTGACTAAAAATATTCAATTAAAACTTCCTTATTGTAGAAATAACTAAAGTAACTTATTCTACTTCAACTAAACTTTAAGTAACTTATTAAAATAAGTTAAAGCAACATATAAACAAGTAAACACATGAACTGTCATGACTGTCAGGGGTCGCTCAGTGGATGAACCGCCAACTATTTTATGTTTACACAGCAGATGCCCTTCCAGCTGCAACCCATACACACTCATTCACACACACACACACACACACACACACGCACACACACACACACACACACACACACTCATAATTATTTGTCATGTGAAATTTTAATCCTTTTTAATATTTCCCTATTTCTGTTTAACGAAGAGCAGATTTTCTTCAACGCATTTCTAATCATTACAGTTTTAATAACTCATTTCTAATAACTCTTTTCTTTTATCTTTGCCATGTTTGCCTCTCGTAATATTTGACTAGATATTTTTCAAGACACTAGTGTTCAGCTTATGAATACAGCATGAACATAGTTCCATAAATCCCCTAAAATCTAAACTATTGAACTAATGTAGACCCGAATAATTGCATTGGTTTTTCATAGAAATCATCTCAACTTATAATGTGCTGCCATCTATTGGTGAAATAATAAATCCTTCAGGAAAATATCCTAATAAACATGAGTGGAATACTGTATTTTATTCATTCATTCATTTTCCTACAGCTTAGTCCCTTTATTTATCAGGGGTGGTCACAGCAGAATGAACCACCAACTATTCCAGCATCTTCCCTGTTTATTGGATATTTTCTATGTTTAATTACATTTAAAATGCAAGACAATATACATATTTTACAGTCCTCAACAACATGAATTAGGTTAGTTGAAGTTGTCTAACGGGCCTCACGGTGGTGCAGTGGATAGCACGATTGCCTCACAGCAAGAAGGTCACTGGTTTGAGCCTTGGCTGGGTCAGTTGGCGTTTCTGAGTTTGCATGTTCTCCCTGTGTTGGTGTGGGTTTCCTGCGGGTGCTCCGCTTTCCCCCACAGTCCAAACACATGCGCTATAGGGGAGTTGAGTAAGCTAAAATTGTCCGTGGTGTATGAGTGTGTATGGATGTTTTCCAGTGATGGGTTGCAGCTAGAAGGGCATTCGCTGCATAAAACATGTGCTGGATAAGTTGGTGGTTCATTCTGCTGTGGTGACCCCTGATTAATGAAGGGACTAAGCCGAAAAGAAAATTAATAATTTTGTCTAATTTTCACACTGTTTTCATTTTATTTTTAATTAAAACTTTTAATTATTTTGATGTGTTTTGACAATGTGTTTTTGTATTTTTTTAAATTAATTTACTTTTCAGTCTTTGTTATATTCTACTCAAACATTAAACTTAAAAACTATCTGAAATAAAATACACTTTATGACAGCAAATTCATGAAATAAAGTGTTGAATAATGAACATTTAATTACCCATTAGTTTATTTGCCACAATGTACTAATGTAGCTAATAGAAAATGGCTATTTTACTTAAAAAATAGTCAGCTTCGTAAAATTATACACCGATATGAAGCTACAGCACTGTCAATATAATGAAACATATTATTAATTTAGTTCAATGCAAAATGTGCTTTATTGGCATGACTGCTAATGATACAATACTGTCAAAGCTTGAAATATGTGGACAAATATAAAAACAGAATAACAATAACATGTCAAAATAAAAGAATCGTCTTCCGATTCAGCCTGTGTTTCCTTCCGTTACCGACAACCGGCCGGTTTTGACTCAAGCGGAAGCTCGGCTTGCCTCTGCCCGGTGTCGAGGGCGCGGTTTCGGGCAGCCAAGCGGCTATTGGCCACCGCAAAGATCCGTTAACCAACTATACGGAAGCCGAGATGGAAGTTCGTGAGTGAATCGTGTAGTGAGTCGGATCTTTTAAACGATGTTTTGAACATAATGTACAACAACTTGGCAATATCAGTACACCCTTACTTTACAGGTAAAGAAAACAGGTGCAGATAAAGAACAAATAAAATGTTGCATAAAATACTGTCAAGTAAAATGATTTACATAACTAAATCCTAAAAAACAAAAAGGATAAAAAATGTTTTTTTAAATAAACAAATAAATGAAAAGAACTAGGGGTTTTCCTGTCATTTATATATCTATTTTTTTTTTATCAAAGATAAAAGACTAATTGCACTTTTTGTTTTCATTCTCTTAAGACAGTGTTTCTCAAACTTTTTTCACCAAGTACCACCTCAGAAAAAATGGTCTCTCCAAGTACCACCATAATGACTGGTATTGAAAAACACAGTAGGCCTAATTAAGCAGCTACAGCTCTGGACAGTTCACAAACGTGGCTGATTATT